TTCAGATATATTTAAATAATATAATTTTTTGAGGAATTTTTAAAAAATAAAAAAGCAGTGCCCCCAAACCCCAAGCAAACCCAAAAATAAACAACAAGGTGAAACAAACCCAAACCAAAAACTGTATAGATACAAAAGGTTTTTTAAATACCCATATACAGCACAACGTAGTCAGGCAGGCCGGGTCGATTAACTATCAGGCAGGTAGGTACAGGAGGCTGCAGGCGGAGAGAAGAATGGTCTGGGTCACAAGCCTGGGAATCAAACCTGGAGAAGTCTGCAGAGGTCAGGATCAGGCAGGGTTCGGCAACCAAGTCAGTCCAGAGAAACAGGTATTGCAGGTTACTAAGATACAGGGGTCCATGTGGCAAAAACAACCCAACACGATAGGCACCTGACTAGTGAGGTCTCGTGCACCATTACCTTAAATACAACCCCTGCAATTCTGCTTCAGGTGTTTGGCCTGACTTGCAGGGGTGAGTCTCTGAATTGCTGAGAGCTCTGCAGGCCAGCTCTGGTACTGCAGCCCCACAGGGCAGGTTGAGTTCCCAACCGTTATTGGCTAGTCCATTCCTGACAGTTTGCAACTAAGTAAAACAGAAACTTCATATCAAAAATGACACTTTGAACACATCTAGGCAGGCTCTTTTTCAATCAAGGACAAATGGATCTATTTATTTCTATAAGTTAAGCACGGTGACATGGAGAGAAAGGGTGGGTGAGTTTATGGGTAAATGGATAATTTTGAAAGGCAATGACCCTGATTTACTAAAGGTGTAGAAAAACGTTCACTTTCAAAATTATTTATCACATCTTACTGAATAAGTGTAAACAATAATTTACTTGCAAAGAGTACCCCTATTACAGTCATGGCCGACGAAGATTGTTGGCAAACCCTTTGATATTTTTCCTGAAAATCAAGTATTTCTACACAAAAAAAGGTATTGCATTAACACATGTTTTGCTATACACATGTTTATTCCCTTTGTATGTATTGGGAACAAATATAAAACAGAGGCAGAAAAGTCAAATATGACATAATGTCACACAAAACCCCAAAAATGGGCTGGACAAAAGTAATTGGCACCCTTTAACGTTAATATTTGGTTGCACACCCTTTGGAAAACATAACTGAAATCAGTCGCTTCCTATAACCATCAATAAGCTTCTGACACCTCTCACCCGGAATTTTGGACCACTCTTCCTTTGCAAACAGCTCCAGGTCTCTCTTATTGGAAGGACACCTTTTCCCAACAGCAATTTTAAGATCTCTCCACAGGTGTTCAATGGGATTTAGATCTGGGCTCATTGCTGGCCACTTCAGAACTCTCCAGCGCTTCTTTGCCATCCATTTTCTGAGTGCTTTTTGACGTATGTTTTTGGGGTCATTGTCCTGCTGGAAGACCCAGGATCTTGGACGCAAACCCAGCTTTCTGACACTGGGCCCTACAGTGCGACCCAAAATCCTTTGGTAATCCTCAGATTTCATGATGCCTTGCACACAGTCAAGGCACCCAGTGCCAGAGGCAGCAAAAACAACCCCAAAACATCATTGAACCTCCACCATATTTTACCGTAGGTACTGTGTTTTGTTCTTTGTAGGCCTCATTCCGTTTTCGGTAAACAGTAGAATGATGTGTGCTTTACCGAAAAGCTCTATCTTGGTCTCATCTGTCCACAAGACGTTTTCCCAGAAGGCTTTTGGCTTACTCAAGTACATTTTGGCAAACTGTAGTCTTGCTTTTTTATGTCTCTGTGTCAGCAGTGGGGTCCTCCTGGGTCCCTGCCATAGCGTTTCATTTTCATTTAAATGTCGACGGATAGTTCGCGCGCTGACACTGATGCTCCCTGAGCCTGCAGGACAGCTTGAATGTCTTTGGAACATGTTTGGGGCTGCTATTATCCACCATCCGGACTATTCTGCGTTGCAATCTTTCATACAATTTTCCTCATCCGTCCCACCGACCAGGGAGATTAGCTACAGTGCCATGGGTTGCAAACTTCTTGATAATGTTGCGCACTGTGGACAAAGGCAAATCTAGTTCTCTGGAGATGGACTTGTAACCTTGAGATTGTTGATATTTTGCCACAATTTTGGTTCTCAGGTCCTCAGACAGTTCTCGTCTCCTCTTTCTGTTGTCCATAGGCTTAGTGTGGCACAGACAGACACACAATGCAAAGGTTAAGTGAACGTCTCTCCTTTTTATCTGCTTTTCAGGGTGTGATTTCTATATTGCCCACACCTGTTACTATGCCCCAGGTGAGTTTACAGGAGCATCACATGCTTGTAACATTCTTATTTATCCGCAGTTGTGAAAGGGTGCCAATACTTTTGTCCAGCCCATTTTTGGAGGTTTGTGTGACATTATGTCGAATTATGCTTTCTTTCCTCCCTTTTTTTGTTTGTCCCAATACACACAAAGGGAATAAACATGTGTATAGCAAAACATGTGTTAATGCAATAACGTTTCGTGAGAAATACATGATTTCCTGGAGAAATATCAAGGGTGCCAACAATTTCGGCCATGACTGTATGTGGAAAGAAAAATGGGGAAAAAGTGTCAGAAATAATCCTGTTTTTATTTTTTTTTTTTTTGCATAGCACTGGGTATTCTCTGCAGTGGAAAGTTTTACTTTGTTTCAGCCTATTCACCAAGATAAATGAAATCCACTTTGAAAATGAACATGCTGTACTGCTTTAGTAAATCAGTCCCACTGAAAGAATTCAGCTTTTATATATTTATAAGCCACACAATACATGCTGCGGAGTATACCGAAGTCAGAGAAGGGGAAAACAGGCCACTCCCAGAGCATAGGGGCATGCTGGCTGAGGATCAGGCAAGTGAAATGTTTTTCCCATCCCTTAGACCTAAATGAGTGTTTGACCCTTTCAGTGAGGGGGCAACCCCACTGCAAGGGAGAAGTTTTTCACTTTCTCCAGAGTTGGGCTTTAAATCCTTGCCATGTATACAGTAGAGTCAATATGATAATATGTAGAGCATATAAAATCGAGCCTGTTTCTTTTATTCATAGGGATATTTTGGAAGGGTTTTTTATCAAGAAGTAGGCCTGAATACAACATTGAGCAGGGGGAGCTGAGGTCCCGGTGGAAGGTCGTAAACGTGAGTATAGCCAGTAATGTATAATACAGATTCTACATTGATAGGGTGGGTTACTGTAATTAATTGTAACTAACTGCAAAAAAAACCTGAAATGTGGGGCCATCAAAAATGTGTAATGGTATCTAATATTCTGAATTAAAGTTATGCTATTATATAGGCATAGGTATCCAAGCTGATGGCTGGGCTAGATGAGCAATTTATGTATTAATATTCATACTAGCACTAAGACTCCAGTCAGTATGTAAAACCACAAGTGCTATGAAACACTACAAAGAGCAGTTTAGAAATGCATGTAATCTTTTGTCTCCTAAAACTGTTGTAAAACTACAAATACATTTAGTATACCTAGCTAGAAACCTTGTATATTAATTTAGAAACATTGTTAACCCCCTCCCAGTGCCGCCTTCCGGCCCTTTATTTTTTTTTTTTTTTTTTTTTTTTTTTTTTTTTTTTTTTTTTTTTTTTTTTTTTTTTTGTTAGAGATCCTAAATGCCGGGACAGGGAGGCAGGCATTTCAGGTCATCTGACCAATGTGATCACAGTGGACACATGATTGGAAAGCTCCAGATTACAAATATGCATCGGGAGCTTTCCGGTACCCGATGGTTACTGTGTTGGGAGCGTGCTCTCAGCATAGGAAAATGTTTTATATTGGGGTGCATATATGCCATCTCTCAGCTTTAAAGCCTACCCACCAAGAGGCTGCATATATTTGTACCTTTGGCGGGAACTGGTTAAAGCTGAACTGCATGTATGAATCGTATCGCATACTTACATTGGTCCAGCTTGGGCAAATGTAAGTATACATATCTCATACTTGAAGGGCAACTGGGGAATCTGACAGTTAATGTAATACCTGGTGCTACTACAGTAATAGCTGTGATTTTCTGGGTCCTGTGCTGAACTCTGCATACTAACTACAGGAGGGTCACTTTCTCGACACTAATACCAATTTCAGAATGCCTTTTTGTTTTGTTTTTTTCAGTGACTGCAAGGCATACTCTGAGGTGGGGATTGTGACATCACCACCTCCTTTTTCCACCTTTTCCAATCATAGAGCACCTTGTAGTCACTGGATAAAAATACCAGGCATGCATGCTGGGAATGTGTAGGACCAATGTAGATATGAAATAAAGGTTACATCTGGAGTTCAGGTTAAAATGTTTATGTGTAGCAGGTATCAGAACTGTTGCTCAATTGCCTTATTTGATAAACCAGTTCAAAAAGCAATGGTGATGTGCAAGAACTATAACTTGCAATCAGTTATTCTTGTTTACTGATGTACATCACTAAAAATTAATTTTGATTGGTTGGTATGGAATATTCTCTGTTTCGTTTGGAAAAAGCCTGCATGTCATTATGGATGAACATACTCTAGAATTATTCTGTTTTATTGTTTTTATTTGTTTAGTTGTTTTCATACAATCTATTTCATAGATTACTAAATCTAGGATTAATACTAAATAAATTACATTATTTTACAGCTTCTAAAATGAAACTACCAATCATTTCATCCAAAAAGTAAGTACTATTAGTTATCATGTAACTGGTGAGGCTTGTGCCATTTCTTCAGTGTACAAAATGTGCATTTTTGTGTAAAGGTTAATTTTGAAAGCAATAAACAAATAACAGCACTCTTACCTGCCTGAATAAGATCCAATGGAACCTAATGCTGTGCCTGGCGATATCATCACCTTTGCCATAATTTAATTCAATGCTACTTTAAGGCTCTTTTATGTGCACCCCAATACTAAAACTATTACCATATTACTGAACAATTAAAATACTACTGAACAATTTATAATAATTTAGTAAAATTGCTGTGTGGGATAGTTACTGTCCACTGACAGAGATACAAAATTCTGAACCTTTGCTTTATTCTACTTGGTACATGCTTAATGTGGATCTTCACCCTCATATACAAGTTACCTTTTCTCCACCCCTCCTCCCCTCATCTTCATACAAAGTGCACTTTTTTCTTCTTCTTGTTTATCTTGTTTTTGTAAAATATAAAACATCAGGCCCGCCCACCATGTAAGTCACTCACCTAGGCGAATGATGTGCACTATACCCGCTATGCCTCCTGGGATATGTACGTCACATACAGTGGTGAAAGTAATTATTTGATCCCCTGCAGATTTTGTAAGTTTGCACACTTATATAAAATAAATAAAAATAATAATAAATAATTAAAGGGTCTATAATTTTTATCATAGGTGTATGTTAAATGATAAGAGACAGAAAATCAACCAAAAATTCAGAAAAAACACGATACAGATGTTAAAAATTGAGTTGCAGTTCAGTGAGTTAAAAAAGTATTTGACCCCCTACCAACCAACAATAATCCTGGCTCCCACAGACTGGCTATGTCCTCATGTGGTACACAGATTGGTCAATTTAAGAATGGAATGCTCCTAATGACAACTCTTTATGTGTATAAAAGACACCTGTCCACAGAATCTTTCTTCCATTCAAACCTCACCATCATGGGCAAGACCAAAGAGCTGTCAAAGGACGTCAGGGACAAGATTGTAGACCTGCGCAAGGCTGGAATGGGCTAGACGACCATCAGCAAGAAGTTTGGTGAGAAGGAGACAGCTGTTAGAGCGATTTTTCGCAAATAGAAGAAATACAAAATAACCATCATTCTCCCTCGGTCTGGAGCTCCATGCAATATTTTGCCTCATGGGGTAAGGATGATCATGAGAAAAGTGAGGGATCAGCGCAGAATTACACGAGAGGAGCTTGTGAATGATCTCAAGGCAGTTGGGACCACAGTCACCAAACAAACCATTGGTAACACAATATGCCACCATGGATTGAAATCCTGCAACGCCCGCAAGGTCCCTCTCCTCATGAAGGCACATGTACCGGCCCGTCTGAAATTTGCTAATGAACATCTAAATGATTCAGAGCAGGATTGGGAGAAAGTGCTGTGATCAGATGAGACCAAAATTGAGCTTTTTGGTATTAACTTGACTTGCTGTGTTTGGGGGATGAAAAATGCTGACTGTGACCCCAAAAACACCATCCCTGTAGTCAAGCAGGGAAGTGGAAACATTATGCTTTGGGGATGTTTCCTTGCTAAAGGTACAGGCCGACTTTGCCGCATTGTGGGGCCAATGAACGGGGCCATGTATTGTAAAGTTTTGGATGAGAACCTTCTTCCCTCAGCCAGAATACTGAAGATGGATCATGGATGGATCTTCCAGCATGAAAATGAACCACAACATACCTCCAAGGCAACAAAAGAATTGCTCAAGAAGAAGCACATTAAGGTCATGGAGTGGTTTATCCAGTCTCCAGACCATAATCCTATAGAAATTTTATGGAGGAAGCTAAAACTTGGAGTTGCCAAGTGACAGCCAAGAAACCTTAAGGATTTGGAGAAGATATGTAATGAAGAATAGTCCAAAATCCCTCCTGAGATGTGTGCAAACTTGGTAAGAAACATCTTACCTTTGTTCTTGCCAACAAGGTTTTCTCCACCAAGTACAAAGTCATGTTTTGCTTGGGGATCAAATACTTTTTGTACTCACTGAACTGCAACCTGATTTATAACATTTGTATCATGTGTTTTTTCTAGGTTTTTGGTTGATATTCTGTCTCTATCATTTTAATTACACCTATGATAAAGATCCTAGACCCTTAATTTCTTTGTAAGTGGACAAATTTACAAAATCTGCAGGGAATCAAATAATTATTTTCCCCACTGTATCCCAGAAGGCAAAGTCCTTCAATGAGACAAGAGAAAGGTGGCGGGCCTAGCGCTGCGTCATTGAGAGGCCTGGCAGCTGAACTTGGAAGAGTCTGTGGGTCTCCTGATGTCACATAAAAAGATGGTAGCACAGGACAAAGCGGGGGCTGAATTCTGATAGGATTTTGCAGAACACTTCTGGATCCGCTGGGCAGGTGAGTATGTGAAAAGGTTACAACTCACAACAATGTTTGCATTAGGCTAAAAAAAAAAATAGGGCTGAGAGGCTTGAGATCTATTTAAAGTAGAACGTTACCTAAAAAGGGACATTCTGCTTTATGTCCTCACAAGCTTCCCTCATGATTTTTGGAGTTTTGCTTTTTTAGGTAGCGGTTTCCTAGTTTTGACAGGTACCTGCACCCACTTTGCTGAAATCACCTATGCGATTTCACTGGAAGTTTTCTCCCCATGACCAGGCTGCGGGTCCATTCACAAAGTGCAGTGTGATTCATGTATGTACAGTGAGGAGCTGGCTCTGAACCCGCGAGAAGTAACAGCTGGCTTCCCTTAGTAAACACGGAGACCTGAAGACCGGTGAAGAACCAGCCTGGGTGAGGACAGTGCTGGTTTCCTGGACAGGAAAGTGTCCTTTTTGTTAAAAGTCAGCAGCTACAGAATTTGTAGCTGTTGACTTTTATTTTTTTTGTTTTTTTATTTTTTCAGGCTGAAGAACCTCTTGGATTTCCTTGTACAGCAAAGCTCATACTGGGAAAACTTTGCTACTTCTCCTTTCACTCTACTATCAGGCGGGGGTGGGACCTGTATATGTTACTTGACTGCAGCAGAAGAAAATCAGACAGAGCTGTGCTCTTTCACAGAGCTCGGTTAATCTCAGAACCAGATGAACAGAAATACAAATCCTCTGCTATCTAAAACCTCTCCCATGTATGCATTTTATCAGTGCATTTGCCTGGAATTCACCTTTATTATTTCTAAACTAATTCTAGATACCAGCTTCATGTGGAGTGGGCTAGAAGTCTCTTAGAAGGACAAGGAATGGACAGGAATACTGCTGACAAGATTCTCGGAGATTATTGCTCCCTGATTGATTTTGCGGAGGATAAAGATGAAACTGTAGATTCTGTGGACTGCAAAGCTCAAAATAAATTTACTTCTGCAGATGAAAGAAATGAGGATTTTGAAGGTAACCCCCTTTTTGATCCTTTAGCAAAATATAGCTCAGAGGAACTGGAGGCTCAGGAACAGTACGTTGCACCAGATAGAGAAGTTCTGGAGAAGATGCATTGTCATAGACATGATGACTTAATTGTACATTGTGGCTGTAGGCCAGCAAAACAGACTGTTCAAAACATTTCTGCTGAGAAAAGTGTAATCAATGGGGAAGAACATGAATATGTGTTGGTGGAAGAGGAACAAGACTCTGCTAGTCTTCAAGACAAAGATGGGCAGAATGACAAAAATGTAAGTTTCCTAGTCACTAGACACAATGTTGGCTACAAACGGTATGCAATGTTTACATATTATGCAATATATATTGTACTAGTCATGCAAGTCAAAAAATATAGTGAGTAAAATTCCCTTGTGATGAAAAACAGTGTCATCTGTAACTGTCAAGTGAATGTCATTAAGGGCTCATTTATACAGGCACTGACACCCGCTCTTCTATGTCTGTATGCACCTCAGGGCTGCACGCAGACAGCCCATAGAAGTGGATGCAGATGCACCTGTCGCATGGACATGTCAAAATTTGATATGCATGCAGGAGCAGGTGCACAGATCTGTCAGTGGTTGTTAAGGACGCTGTCAGCTTCACAGCCAACAGCCACCTAGCAAACAGTGACATTGACATTGGGCAAATCCTGGGTGGGAAAGCTGAGACATTAGTTCCCCATCAGGTCTTCTCTCTCCTTGTGATTGACAGGAGGCAGTGAGCAGATTATATAGCCATAAACATGCTTTTTTGGCTTTGCATCAGCTCACTGCCTGCTGTTAATCACAAGGGTAGCAGACGTGATGGAGAACTAGTGTCTGTGAATCCCCATCAGGCTTCGTCCACCCAGCTTTAAAAGACTTTGGCTGTTCGTATAGACACTCCAGTGTGCCTCCACACACACAGGTTTATTTACTAAAGCTGGAGAGTGCAAAATCAGGCTCACTTCTGCACAGAAACCAATCAACTTCCAGTTTTTATTGACAGAGTTTAATTGAACAAGCTGAGGTTAGAAGCTGATTGGTTTCTATGCACAAAATGGGCCTGATTTTGCACTCTCCAGCTTTAGTAAATAAACCCCAATGTGCTTGCCACAAATTCTTGTACCTATTTCCAACAGGTACATTGATCTGTCATTCTGTCCCAACATTTTGTCACACAGGGACACCAATAATACTCAAAAGATGGTCATGGTGTCTGTCTGCACAACTGTAGCTGTCGTTAGCGGAGAGAGAAGCAAAGTGACATCTTCCATGGAGAAGTAGGTTTGATATGCAACACTTAAACGTGCAGTGGAAGAATGTGTAAAAAGATTTTGTCATTTCAATAGAATTTAAGATTGTATAAACAAATCGTGATCAAGATCTATTGAAGTGATAGAATACCAGATCCAAGTACACACTGTATACAGTACATGTACACCTATACTGTGTAGGTTACTGTGCAGCTGTGTTTGTTGTTGAGAAAGATGTAGATATTGTATCATCATGGGGGCTACAGTATAGCATCCCACAACTTTTACCCTCATGTTTTAATGGACATCATTATTTTGCCTTACAGTTCAAATTGAAAGCTTGTGTTTTAGGCTGAATAAAAGAACTCTTTATTTTCTTTGTATTAAACTTATCATATCTTTACAATTTTAGAAGAAGCACAAACTTGTTTGCCGGAGAAATCCATTCCGAATGTTTGAGTATTTACAGCTGAGCCGTGAAGAGGTAAATAGTCTGAACAGTAAGAAAATTTAGAAAGATCTTTCACAGAGAAAGTCTATTGGGGACCTTTCCTTGCGGGGCCTTCATCTCCTTATTCTCCCACCTCCCGTATTTCTTTGTGCAGAATCATATGATCTTTACATCCTTCACTGCATTACTTGGAGAATAGTAGGGCTTAATACATACTTTATACTCGCTCTCCCTATAGGGGATTGCGCCTTTATGTATCACGTTTAATTAGTTTTGGATAGAACAAGGAAGGGAAAGAAACTCAGCCAGCTTTTGCTGTGTAACCACTGGGGAGACCTAAACTCTCTGTCAAAGGAAAGCAAGTGATAGGAATTGGGTCCCTTTTTCCAGTGACAGCTGAATTTTTCGTCGCTTTGGAGAGATTTTCACCTATTTCCTATTGTGTCTCTTGGAACAGGAAATGCAGGGAAATCTTCCTATTGGGGCACAGAGAGCAGTAATAAAAAGATTTATAATATTGTAAAAGATGTAACATTAACATCATTGACTATATTGGGTATAATATTTAAAGTCTAACTCCAGCTATTCTGTCACTTCAAATACAATGCTCATAAAAATTAAAGGAACACTTTTTAATCGGAGTATAGCATCAAGTCATTTAAACTCCTGGGATATTGATCTGGTCAGTTAAGTAGCAGAGGGGGTTGTTAATCAGTTTCAGCTGCTTTGGTGTTAATGAAATTAACAAGAGGTGCACTAGATGGGCAACAATGCGACGACTCCCAAAACAGGAATGGTTTTACAGGTGGAAGCCACTGACATTTTTTTCCCTACTTATCTTTTTAACTGTTTTTACTAGTTTTGCATTTGGCATAGGGTCAATGTCACTACTGGAAGCATGAGGCGATACCTGGACCCTACAGAGGTTTCACAGGCAGTCCAACTCCTCCAGGATGGCACATCAATACGTGCCATTACCAGAAGGTTTGCTGTGTCTCCCAGCACAGTCTCAAGAGCATGGAGGAAATTCAGGAGAAAGGCAGTTACTCTAGGAGAGCTGGACAGGGCCATAGAAGGTCCTTAACCCATCAGCAGGACTGGTATCTGCTCCTTTGTGCAAGGAGGAACAGGAGGAGCACTGCCAGAGCCCTACAAAATTACCTCCAGCAGGCCACTGATGTGAATGTCTGTGACCAAACAATCAGAAATAGACTTCATGAGGGTGACCTGAGGGCCCGACATCCTCTAGTGGGCCCTGTGCTTACTGCCCGGCACCATAGAGTTCGATTGGCATTTGCAATTGAACACCAGAATTGGCAGGTCCGCTACTGGTGCCCTGTGCTTTTCACAGATGAGAGCAGGTTCATCCTGAGCACATGTGACAGACGTGAAACGGTCTGGAGAAACCTTGGAGTACGTTATACTGCCTGTAACATCCTTCAGCATGACCGTTTTGGTGGTGGGTCAGTGATGGTCTGAATGATGGGGAATGAATTACTATAGGGGGGATGAATTACTATAGGGGGATGAATTACTATATGGGGGATGAATTACTATGGGGGATGAATTACTATATGGGGGATGAATTACTATGGGGATGAATTACTATGGGGGATGAATTACTATATGGGGGATGAATTACTATATGGGGGATGAATTACTATGGGGGATGAATTACTATGGGGGATGAATTACTATATGGGGGATGAATCACTATGGGGGATGAATTACTATATGGGGTATTAATTACTATGCATACTATGGGGGAATATTACTATACTTACTATGGATGACACATACACATCATTCATCTACTCTTGGTCCGGCCCCCGGGTCCAATATATGAACCCATTGCGGCCCTCAAGTCAAAAAGTTTGCCCACCCCTGGGCTAGACAATGGCACCCTGACTGCCATTAGGTATCAGGATGAAATTCTTGGACCAATTGTCAGACCCTACAGTGGTGCAGAAGGTCCTGGGTTCCTCCTGGTGCACAACAATGCCCAGCCTCATGTGGTGAGAGTTTGCAGGCAGTTCCAGGAGGATGAAGGAATTGATACCATTGAATGGCCCCCACTCTCACCTGACCTAAATCCAATAGAACACCCCTGGGATATCATGTTTCGGTCCATTCGACAACGCCGGGTTGCACCTCAGACTGTCCAGGAGCTCAGTGATGCCCTGGACAAGATCTGGGAGGAAACACCCCAGGACACCATCCGTTGTCTCATTCGGAGCATGCTCCGACTTTCTCAGGCATGCATACAAGCACATGGGGGTCATACAAACTACTGAGTACCATTTTGAGTTGCTGCAATGAAATTTCAGCAAAATGAACTAGACTGCTGCATAATGTTTTCACTTTGATTTTCTAGGTGTCTTTGAATTCAGTCCTCTGTAGGTTGATCATTTTCATTTCCATCAAACGATGGGGCATCCTTACATTCCTAACACATTGCCCAGTCCATATCAGTATAGATTCCCAGCATGAGATTTTTTCCCATTGAGATCTGATCTGTTTTCAAAGTGTTCCTTTAATTTTTTTGAGCAGCGTAGTTTGTTTATGCCAAGCTGGAATTCTTGGTTATAGAAGGTCAAAAGCACAGAAAATATGGATGTAATGGGGTGAATTTACCAAAGGTGAAGCAAACAGAATCTGTAGCGGCTGTGCTGAGCGGCAAATGCATTGCTCAGTTTATGAGTGAAGTTGCACTCTTCAAGGGGATTTTCTCCAAAGCTTATGAATATGGTAACATTTGCGAAGAATACCAAATAATATGCAAAGAAAAGAACAGCTTCTTTCTTGCACATGATTGGATGATAGAAGTTAGCAATGTTTCACCCCATTCACTGGGGAAAATTCCCTTGTAAAGGGAAACTGCCTATTTGCCACTTTTAGCACCGATCCACTTATTCAGTCAAATGTAACAACCATAAAAAGATGACTTATCCTGTGAAGCCGTGCCCTATGCGTTTTATCATACAATTTCATCCTCATGCTGGAAACATTGTATCCATGTGATCTGTGCTTTTGAGATTTTAAAGTTTTGTTTACCATCAGGTGGAGGATTGTTTGTCTCACTGGTTACTGTATACACTCCTGCACATATTTTGAAAGATACATACATATTCATGACTTTGAACTATGATGATGATTAAATTTTGTGTTCTCACCGTGCACCTTTTTTTGATGTTGGGACTTTTAGTCATTTTTTTTTGTGTTTTGCATTGACACTGACTCAAACGGGTGCTCAATTCATGACGTCCCGGGACATGCAGTTCCGGGCAGGTGGTTCTTTTTTAAATTGAGCTCTGCTGTCCTTGGCCTCTGATTGGTCCATAACATTGGCACTGTAGTATATTGCAGTGTCTTTATTCATGTTTTATGGGTGTAAAGGTTGGTTATGTATACAGTTCAAGTGGTAGGTTGGTTATGTCAGCTCTGATGTAGTTAGTCATTTCTTCCAAGGTTTTACCTTTCATTATGTATCCTGATCATACAGAGTCCTCAGTCCTGGTGACACATGTGCACAGTCACTGCCAGGGATGATTGTATGGATGATGTAAAGGGGTGTTTGCCTTATATATGTCAGGGGTTAGATAGATGTACAGTAATTGGGGGAACATAACAAAACACTTCAAAACTTCTAGGAAGCTGCTGTGAGAGGAATACTGGGATTTCTGACTTCAGCTTCTGAAAATGCCAGTTCCCTGGCAGTGTAGGGTAAAGAGATAAGAAATGTAGATTTTGCTCCTGACTGTGCTGTGTGCGGATTTCATGTCAGAAGTATTGCAGCCAGATAACGATCATTTTCGGCAACTATTTCTCTGTGATTAAAGTGGACCTTCACCAATGGAGTGAACTTCCTCTCCTCTGCTACCTCCCTCCTCCTCATGCTTACATATCTGTGAACATTGTTTTAGTGTTAAATCTCTTTATTGTTCTTTGCAGCCAGGAACTTCTGATTGCCTAAGCAAGGATCACGTATGTGTGATCGGCCACCTGCTCTCCTGGGATGTTCATGTAAAAAACACCAGGAGGCAATGCTTCACAGGGACAAAGTATCATGCAGTTTTGATCCCGCGCATGTGTAGACCAGCCACATGTCTGACCATACTTGGGGCGAAAAACAGACAGGAACATAACTTTTAAGATAGCTGTGCATGGAAGATAATGCTGGACTCCAGGGACTAGGAAGTGTTTTTGTATAGATGGATCAAAGTTTGGCTGGTTCAGCCAGGAGCGGATGAGTTTCCATCTGTGTGTGGCCATCCCTGTTTGATCAAGCTGGAAAACTGTCAGTCAGCAGCCGCTGATCAAAGTATTCTGACAATGGAGAATCCTTGACAGGGATGTGTAAATCATGTTTTTTTTTATATACATTTAGCCCTGCTGCAGGTAAACGGCAGGGTTTACTTTTTTTTTTGTCCCTTAACATAGTGGACACCCATGTAGCATGAAGATCTGTATCACCTGCAGCAACTGCACGTGCCAGAATCAGGGAAGACAAGCCAAGCTAAGTCACTTAACTTCTTACATGCCAGACTACTATACAGGCTCTTTAATGGGCAGGAATCGGAAGCTCTGGCGCCGTGACAGCCGAGCAGAAACACAGGCACGGGTCATCCTTATTAACAGTGCTGATACACAGGGGGGTTACAGGATTTCACAGCGGCTGTAGCACCCCGTGCCTGTGTTGTAGTCTGGCATGTAAGGAGTTAAGTGACTTCAAGTACCTCTCTGGCTTTAGCTTGGTGCTCAGCTTGTTTTCCCTGATTCTGGAGCATGTGCAGTTGCTGCAGGGGGATACAGTCTTCACGGGATAAACATCGTGCTGCAACGGGGCTTGATTTGGCTGCTCAGCATGCATTTTTACTGAGCACCCAAGTGCTTCCGTGTGCAAGGGTAACCTGAAGGAATAAAGTTTTTTTTTTTTCCCCTCATTGGGGCTGGCGCCTCATTTACTCACTCAGCAGATGTGCTTCTGCTGACCATTAACCACGTGGTATCTGTGCTATAGCCTAATGATGGCTACAGCGCGGTTATCCAGTTCTGGGAGGGCGTCATATGACGTCCTCCTGTGCACCCCCACTGGCGCACACCTGGCGATCTCTGTGATCACTGTGTCCTACGGACACAGCTGATCATCGTGACGAGGTAAAAGGCCGATCACAGCGGCCAATCACCACGTGATCAGCTGTGTCCAATGACACAGTAGATCATGGAGTAAATACAGTTGCTGGCTATCGGCTGCACTTTCCTCATGCTGTCACAGTGTGAGGAAAGTACTGCCGATAACCTGCAGCTGTCACAGAGCAGATCGGCAGTGATAATCAGTGCCCAGCAGTGCCACCCATCAGTGCAGCCAGTTAGTGCTATCAGTCAGTGCCGTCAGTCAGCGCAGTCCATCCGTGACCATCATTGCTGCATATCAGTGCAGCATCATCAATGCCTTCTTATCAATGCCCACTTGTGCCACCTCATCAGTGCAGCCTATCCATGCCACCTTATCAGTGCTGCCTCATCAACACACATCAGTGAAGGAGAAAAATTACATGTTTGCAAAATTTTATAGTAGAAACAAAGAAAAACTTTTTTTTTTTTCAAATATTTTGCATTTTTTTTTTTATAATGCAAGAAATACAAAACCCAGTGGCGATTAAATACCACCAAAAGAAAGCTCTATGTGTGTGAAAAACATGATAAAAATGTCATATGGGTACAGTGTTACATGATCGCACTATTGTCATTCAGAGTGTGAGAGTGCTGAAAGCTGAAAATTGGCCTGGGCACGAAGTGGGTATAAGTGCCCAGTAGGCAAGGAGTTAAGAGAGACTGACACTTCCCTAAACAAAAAATGTCAAATGCTTTAAAACAGACATAACCTTGAAGTGGTTTATTTCTTCTTTCCTCAGGCTTTCTTTTTGGTGTATGCCTTGGGTTGTCTGTCAGTCGCTTATAAAAAGGTAACTGCTATTGTTTTATTATTCTGTTTCTCTGTGATGGTTAAAGTGATTTTTTACACTATGTTATACTTACCTGTTGTGGGCAATGGAATTGCACAGAGCATTCCTGAAACTTCTCTTTTCTGGTCCCCCTCCTCTACATGGTGTGCCATCATTGGAAGACGCTTCCTATGGTGGCTCACCTGCAGGGTTGATCCCAAGCCGCACTGCCTGTGTCCATAGACATTGGCCCCTCCAATGCCTCCTGCTGCCTCAGCAAAACCTATGAGAGCAGGGAGAGAAAACAGAGTCTCTGCAGACAGGCCCAGTGCTGAATCAAGTGAGGACCCTGGTAAGTATAAGGGGGGGCGATACTGATTAATAAATATTTTTTACCTTAGTCCAGGGAATGCATTAAGGTAAAAAAAATGTTTACGCTTTAGAACAACTTTAAGTTTGTGATAAAGAGTGAGAAACAGTTATCCTGTAAAATACACTTCTGAATGAAGGAAATCCAGCTGACCTGCATTTACATAAGGTGTGACTCCTAGGATGGCCATTCTCAACATTCCTGATGTGGAGTTCCAAGACAAGGAGACAGGCTTTTTGTCAGGATATTTAATATTCACTGAAAGTAGCCAACACAGGGCCCACCTCCCTGTCTTCCTGCTTCTCACTGAGAACAGGACTGACAACTTCAGCTGTTAGTGACAGGACCACAATGGGGGTGTTATTTATGAAAACTGGAGAGTACAAAATCTGGTGCAGCTGTGCATAGGATCCAATCCGCTTCTAGCTTTTTGTCAAAGCTTAATTGAACAAACTGAAGTAAGAAGCTGATTGACTACTGTGCACAGCTGCTCCAGATTCTGAGTGCACCAGTTTTAGTAATACTCCCCCAATGTTTTAAGTCTTTGGTCTTTGAAAATATGGTTCCCGTGTTTAAAGGATAAGTTCACCTTTCGCAACATGTTACATGTTACACCCACATTCCTTCCCCCCCCTCGATCTTCTCCCCCCCCGATCTCCCCCCCTCCGCCCATACAACCATGTCACTTATTCGCAGTCCTCTGTGAATGAGACTACAAGTTCCGACAGCTGGTAGTTCATTCACTCTTCCTGTCAGAATATCTGCTTGCTTGTACATCCCGTACAGCAAGAAGAGATTCTGACAGGTCTGCAGGAGACCTACATGGCATCAGCGATCTACTGATCGCTGTTGCAATGCTTTCCAGGCTCCTGCAGACAAAAATAATAGATGCACAGTTTTTCACCTGCAAAAAAATGAGCATTTATTATTTTTTTCTGAAAGTGGAACTTATCCTTTAGGATTTTATAGTTTGTAAAATGGTTGTAAAGACTGAAGGTTTTTTACCTTCATGTGTTCTATGCGTGAAGGTAAAAAAACCTTCAGTATGCAGCTTCCCCCCTAGCCCCTCCTAATACTCACCTGAGCCTGATCTTGGTCGAGAGATGTGCAGGACAACAGCAGCTCTCCCGGGTCTCTACCTCTTTATTGGCTCCCACTGCTGTCAATCACAGCCAGTGAGGAGGGGGCGGGGATGAGCCACCCTCTGCTGTATCTTATGGAGAGAGCGGGGATTGGAGGTGAGCAAGCACCAGTTCCCCAATAGCATGCGGCTTGCTATGGGGGTACTGCTCGGGGGGGAGTCAGAAGCACCGGGGGAACCCGAGAAGAAGAGGATCACTACACAGAGCAGGTTAGTAAACATGTTTTGTTTGAAAAAAATTAAATAAAAAAACAAAGCATTAATATCTCTTTAAAGTGAACCAGTGCCCAGATCATGCTTACTAAAGAATTTACACATTTCAAACAAACAAAAAAAATAGTATTTCCAAAAAACCGGTCATATCTGCGTCTACAAGCATTGTGGAGAAATTTCATTTTCAAAGTTCCAAGAAAGTTATTAAAATCTTTACCGTAGAGCAAAGGTTGCTAAGGATTCCTTGACTGTGTCAATTGGCCTTCAGTTTGATGAGACCTTCATGGTTCAAAGGGTCAAAACCACTTGGTGAAGCTAACAGCATAACACCAATGATTTTATTAGCTGTCTGTATGGGGGGCATTCTGACCACCATTGTAAAGAGAGCATTCTTGCCACTGAACACCAATGTAAGGAATATTCTACTAGCCACAAAAGTAGGGGTATTTTTCTCATTGCATCCCAATGCATTGATTTTAGTGAGGGTTCCCTGAGACCTGAAAATTATTTTAGGGGTTCCTCTGGGGTAATAAGGTCGAGAGAGGCTGCTATGGAGTCTTTGTTGTGATCTTTGAGGATCTTTGAGAATGAATAAGTTCACATTAAAAGCATCTAGCGTGTCAGTGATGGTTTTTTAAAGCTCTATTACTTCTTATTAAGAATATGTAAATACCGATAGTTTGATGTCCATAGTCTGGGCACGTGCGAGTTTTAAGGTGCAGTGTGTTGTATGCCACTTGTTTTAATTGTTTACCTGTTAAAGTAATTAGCTCTTTAAATCTTTTTTAGGAACCTTTATCTAAAGTAATTAGGGCTTTAAATCTCTTTTAGGAACCTTTACCTAAAGTAATTAGGTCTTTAAATCTCTTTTAGGAACCTTTAACAATACAGAAACTCTGGGAAGTTTTCTGTGCAGCACAGCGGAACTTCCAGACAAGTTATATGGCATACCATCACTTCCGAAGCAAAGGCTGGGTGCCCAAAGTGGGACTAAAATATGGAACAGACCTGTGTGAGTAATCCTTGAGATGAATTGCTAAGTCTACCCTAATATTTCAGTTTGGCAGTTTGTCACAAAAAAAAAAAACCTTATTTATTTACTTTTTTTTTTTTACTTTATCTAGTGTTATATCGTAAAGGTCCACCCTTCTACCATGCAAGGTTGGTAAATAAAAAATATATGTGGCTACTGCCTTGGATCAGAACCTGCTATATTTTAGAGTTTACTTTTCCGACAGTCTTTTTCAATAACACCACTTATTTATCTTTGAAAACATGTTCTTCTATATTGTAAATCCAACAAAACATTATTTAAAAATCATGTCATAATTTTAAAAAGTGTAGAAATTTAACCCCTTGCCAGCTGCGGCACCTCATGGCCATTTTAAGGGGTTTCCAATGCCTGAAGGCAGGGCAGGGTTTCTTATCATGTAACGTGATTGGCTGTCACAGCAGTCACATGCTTGGAAATGTCCTGATCGCAAGTAGAGATTCGGAGCTTTCTGTTAACCACCCATTAGTAACTGTGTCGGGAGCGCACATGGTGCACGCTCTTGGCACAGTCTTTATCTTTAGGTACATATATATGCAGCCTCTTGGTGTTAAGGCCCACTCAAGTAGAGGCTGTATATATATGCCAGAAGTCTCCACTAAGACACAAGCCAGATATTAGGCATCTTCTGCAACAAAATTGTCATTTCTTGTGAGATGCTCCTAAAAGGTTAATCACTTTTAAGGGATGGAGACCTTGCAGCTTTCCCCATTAGAGCACTCCTAGTGCATGAGCTAATCAAACCGATCATATTCAGAATTCAAAAGGCATTGATCACTAAGAGGGGCTTATTTTTCATAACAAAAGTGGAGTCACTCTTTAATTTCAAAATATTTGCTAAATGCCCCACCTACATGTCCTGGTTTACTCCTAAAGGCAAACACCCTTCATGTGTACAGCTCAACACCCTTCTCCCTCTAAAATTATACATCTAATGAGCAACTAAAGGAAAAAAATGGCTGCCAGAGTTCTGGTTTCCTCAGTCACATCTCCTCCCCAGCCAAAGGAACAACCACACATATATGAGATCATCCCTGTGACCTGCTGTGCAAAGCAGTAGAGCCCTGGTTGGATTAGTGTGGCTATCTTTCTTCTCCCAGCATGAATGCTGCTATACATGGGATTACAGCAATGGCAGAACTACCAGGGTTGCAAGGGTCATACTTGTGATCGGACCCTGGAGTTCCACCACTGTGGGGGAAGGGGGGGGAGCCTATGGCTTTAGGGTTGCTGGCTGCAGTTGTGAGAAGAGAGTGTCTATTGCACGCTTTTTCTCACACTGCCCAGACCCATTACTAACTGCTGGCCCAACACCCCCCCCCCCTCCATATGGACCGGAGAGAGAGAGCAGGATCTACTTCTCTTCCCACCTGTTTCCTGCTATGTGTGCCTGTGGCCGCACCCACATTCCAATCCCTGGCAGCACTATGCCTCACAAAGAGGATGAGTGGATGGGAAAGCCCATCAGCTGGAAACTAGATTGTGGAGGAAGTATGCAGCCTGTCTGAGCCTCCTTCCATGGTGAGTGAAGTGTCCCCCCTCCCTCCCTTCTCTCTCTTGCCTTTGAGTACACTAATGTAAGGGAGAACTCTGTGGACTATAATATAAATGGGGACTCTGATGTATATGGGGGCTTTGGTGCCCAGAGGCCTCCTTACATCAGCATTCCCAGAGCACCCCTTACATCAGAGTTCCCCTTTACATTACAGTCCACAGAGCTCTCCCTTACGGCTCTTTCACACTGGAGGACTCCGCCAAGCACTTCCCACTGTTCTATATGGGTGGTCAGATGTAAACGGGCTGCCTGTCCATTTACATCCGACTGTCATCCGATCCACTAGATGGATGGTGAACAGATCCCCATCCATCTGTTTTAAGAGAATCGGATGCAGGCAGGTGTAAACGGACACATGTCTGTTTACGTCCACCTCCCCATAGAGAACAATGGGTGGTCCGATTGTTCATCTGTGTGAAAGGGCTCTTACAGTGTAAATGGAAATTCTGTAGAATCTGAAGTAACAGAGGCTCTGGGAATCGTGATTACAGGGGTATGCTGGGAACTATGATTTAAGTGGGGGCTCTGGTTATTAGGGACCCCCTTGTATCAGAGTTACCATTTACATCAGAGTCTGCAGTGTTCCCCCTTACATCAGAGTGACCTCCTTACATCAGAGTTCTCACGGTTCTTCCTTAAAGTGTTCCTAAACCCACAACAGTAAAATCAGTCTGTATATGCTTGTTATACTCACTGTGGAACCTAAGGGGTTAATCCTCTACATTGTGTAAAAAGGCTGATTGATTCTGACTTCTTTGATCCTCCCCTTCTTCCAGTGTCCCCCTCTTATCTTCTGTTAAGACATATTGTGTGGAGTCACTCTGCACATGCTCAGTGTTGTGTGTATTGCTAGAGAGGTTTTTTTTTTGGGGGGGAGGGTGCATGTGATCAGCACAGACCAATCAGCACTGTCCAGACGGGTTCTACATCCTCCTAGAGCAAAATGAAAATTCCTCCTACAAGCCTTAACATGTGCTCTGCTGGACACTGGCAGCCACAAGACTGTTCTAACTGCTGATGAGAAAAAGTATTTAGCAGTTTATATTTACTAAAATAATTGCATTTCCATGTCCTGTGTACTGTGGGAGACCAGATATAGTAAATGTAGGGTCCTGGGTTTAGTAACTGTTTTAATCAGAGTCCCCAAAGTTCTCCCTTGCATCAGAGTCTGCAGAGTCCCCCCTTACAGTGTAAGGGAACTCTGCAGAACTTTGCAAGTTCAGATGTAAAGGGGAAGCTCTGCATATTCAGATGTAAAGTGGAACTCTGGATTCAGATACAAAGAAGGAACTCTGTGGATTCAGATTTAACTGGGAAACTCTGCGTATTCAGATGCAAAGCGGAACTCTGGATTCAGATGTAAAGCGGGACTCTTTGGATCCAGAAGTCTCTTTACAGTCTGTGGACTCTGATGTAAGGGAGGGCTCTTGTGATTAAATTCATATAATTAGAATTGTTATTTAATCACACAATATATGTATAGTGTATACTACAAAAAAATGGTCTGTGCGCCACTAAAGTCTTTGGGTTTGGCTTGAAGAAAAGGTGCCATCCATACCCAAGATGGCAGGAAGGGGTCCTGCTGCAGGATCATAATAAAGGTCCCTGCAATGGGAGTAAAGGACCCCGAGATCAGTGGGAAGGGCCCCGCGACCAGAGGCCAGTGGGCCCTTCATAGTTTCTTGAACTGGGGCCCTGAATGCTCTAATTACACTTCTGGATTACAAAGACAAAAATGTATGTACATATAAAACCTTTATTTTCATCATTATTGGATTGATGATTTTTTAGATATTTTTTTTTTTATTCATGTCTTGGCCATGCACTCAGCCTTAGTGGCCCTGAAGGTTCTAATTACGCTTCTGGATTACAAAAACAAATATTTATGTACATATAAAATCTGTATTTTCATCATTATTGGATTGATGATTTTTTATATATATATATATATATATATATATATATATATATTTTTTTTTTTTTTGATTATTATTATTATTACTTGTGTCTTGGCTGTGCACTCAGCCCAAGATTTTTTTTAAATGTACTGCCATGAAAAAGGTAATCTTGTGCAAAGATTACCTGCAGATAACCTTTGAAATAGTTAGTTCTAACAAAACTCATAAAAAAGGTGACTTTGAAGATACTGCCATTCAAACTGAAAATTCAAAAATATTTTTTTTATTTAAGAAGTATATAACTTCATTCAAAAAATATTGCAACTGGGTTGTGTGAATACAGCAGCACATGTCCCATTAAGACAGTGTTTCTCAACTCCAGTCCTCATGGACCCACAACAGGTCATGTTTTCAGGATTTCCATTATTTTGCACAGGTGATTTGATCCGTTTCACTGCCTTAGTAATTACCACAGCTGTTTCATCTGAGGGAAATCCTGAAAACATGACCTGTTAGGGGTCCATGAGGACTGGAGTTGAGAAACACTGCATTAAGAGAACAAGAAACATAGCTCCCATAGTGTGAATCTGTGTAAAAACAGAGATTTCATTATGTACCTGCACTTGCAAAGGTCTGCATAGCATTCACCAATACATCAGAAGTCTTCATTCCTTACATATATATGCCATGTAATGCTGTAGTTGAGGTGATTATATTCGGACAACACACAATTGCAATATTTTTAAATGGGATTTTACACTTCTGGAATAATTTTTTTTTTGAATTGTTGTCCTTTTGAATGGCAGTATCTTCTAAGCCCCCCTTTTCTCTGAGTTTTGTTACGACAGTTCTGTTTGGGATGTGATACTGCCACCCACCCAGGGGTTCCATGAATGAGTGAAAATGCAGTTGGGAAAGGGTCAATGGTCTATGTGCCTAGTCATATTCCCTTTCACAGAGCAAACCCCTATAAAATCTCCAGTGATCCTCTGCTCATACTGTATAAATGAGGTTTCAGTATATTCTTTTACCATGATGTTTATCATGCTGTTCCTTTCCTACGTGCAGGGAACATCTGATAGTGATTTAGCCCCAGTTCACACAGGTGCGACTTGTCATGTGATTTGACAGTTCCAAATCACATGACAAGTCGCACCCCATTGCCGGCAATGGCACCGTTCATATTGCTGCAACTCATATCGCAGCGATTATGTAAACGTTCCTGGACTACTTTTTGCTGATTTCATTGCGATTTGCATAGACTTCAGTTATTTGAGGTCGCAAGCCGCAATGAAATCAGCAGTGCAAATCGCACTGATATGCAGCTTTGAAATCCTGCTGAAGCACCACGATTTCAAAGCTGCACCCATTTGAACCGGGGATTATAGTTAGTTATCAACTAATTCGCTTTCACTGGAGATATGAGGGCAGTTTTGAGGACTGAGCCCCAAGGCCACTGGTCAAGTTCTGTCAGGTAGGCTGTACGGGGCCCCTTGATTTTTGACATCAGCTCAGCTAAGCCCTTATGTTAAACCTGAACATTCAGCTGAAAAAATTAACCTTGCTGTGGCTGCCACCCTTCTTCTGCAAAGGTATATTGTTCATTTTGTTGAGGGGAAGGAATAAGGTGAAGTACTCACCTTGTTCCTTGCTGCTACAGACTTCCTTCTCGCCATATGACTTGTCCACCAAAGTCGCTCGTCTTCGCCACTTGTTCGGGTGCAGCTCTCCGACGTAATGATGAAGAGTGCAGAACCTGCAGTCCTGCATTGTATGTGAGGATGAGACCACCCAAATACCAGGCACAGAAAAGAGCACCAACTGCCAGGGGAGTGAGGAAAAAGGTTTGACCTTATCCATTACCCCCTAGACAAAATGAGCAGTGTGGGGGGCATCATTGCATGGTGAATTTTTTCAGCTCAATAAAGTTCAGCTGTGCTGCAACAGACTGGATGTAGTGGGATGATAAGCCATAGGTGCATATGGTACTGTAGAATTTCATATAAAGGATCTGATTACTGTCTTCTATAGAACCAAAGAGCTGTGAATCACTAAACGGCCCCCTTATTATTAATAATTTGAAAGCATTTGAATCTTTCCTTTGAAATTCTCTTTAAGCTGTATTTATTTATAGTTTTTCTTTTCTTTTACAGTTATTCTGTAATTGTGGAACTTGTTGATGCTGATTATGAAGGTTCTCCTCTGCGACCATTGACCTGGAGGTCTTTATCTGGTCTTAACAGGACAACAATGAATGTGTCTAAGGTAAAAAGGACATGGCAGCTGTGGAACCTTTATGGGTACATCTGATACTGCAGAGTGTAAAAAACTGGCATCAAGCTTATCAGTGTAGCCAGCAAAGGGAGCTTGTGGAAGTGCAATTCATTACAATTATACAAAACAAATTCCCCAGAACACAGTTATCGTAGAACACATAAGAACCTATTAAAATCCTGCTTATGAAATAGTAATAATAAAATCATATATTTAATTTGCATACATTTTCAAGTGTATGTATGGGCAAAATAGCACAGCCATCCAGTAGATGCACATTCCCCAGTGTTATGGGAGGGGAGCAAGTGCTGGGAGTTGTGTAAAAGGAGGAGATGCTAATGTAGGTGAGAACTTTATGGCTGACAGCACTGCATAGAATTTCAGTGCAGCAGTGTCAGCACTGTCAGCTCACTGCAGGGAATTAGGAACAGACTGCATATGTGGCAGGAACAAACGTATTTGTCAGTACTTGCAATGTTTTGAGCAATGTCAGCACTGTCAGCCTACTTCAGAAAATTAGGAACAGACTTCATTTGTGGCAGGATCAATACGTATTTATCAGTACTTGCAATGTTTTTAAAAAGATACAGCAGAAAAGTGCATGCAATGAGATGTTCGACAGTTTGTTTTTTTTTTTTTTTTTTTTTTTTACCTGTACTTTACAATGAATTCTCACCAGCAGCAACGCAGAACACACAGCAGCTGGTGTGTGCTGGGAGGAAAAAAAATACTTCACTTTTTTTTTGTTAGAACTTTATTGAAATGTCACAGGTGCTATTTCATTAAGTTCCATTTACACAACAGTGTTGGTATGTGGTAATTTCCAATACAACCTGCTGCGTCTTAAAAAAAAAAAAAAAAATGCAGTATGTTTTTTGGCTCACATCACAAGGCAGTGGTGTCAACTGACACCATAGGAAAACAGGCACTGCAAACGGCGCTGCCCAGTGCATCCCAAAGCAAATGGTGTGAATAGACCGTTAAACATACACTGCTCAAAAAAATTAAAGGAACCCTTTGAAAACAGATCAGATCTCAATGGGAAAAAATATCATGCTGGATATCTATACTGATATGGGCTGGGTAATGTGTTAGGAACATAAAGATGCCCATCGTTTGATGGAAATGAAAATGATCAACCTACAGAGGACTGAATTCAAGACACCCCGAAAATCAAAGTGAAAAAATGATGCAGCAGGCTAGTCTATTTTGCTGAAATTTCATTGCAGCAACTCAGAATGGTACTCAGTAGTTTGTATGGCCCCCACGTGCTTGTATGCATGCCTGACAACGTTGGGGCATGCTCCTAATGAGAAGACGGATGGTGTCCTGGGGTATTTCCTCCCAGATCTGGACCAGGACATCACTGAGATCCTGGACAATATGAGGGCTCTGTGTCGGATTGAATGAAATATGATATCCCAGAGGTGTTCTATTGGATTTAGGTCAGGCGAGAGTGTGGGAGCCATTCAGTGGTATCAATTTCTTCATCCTCCAAGAACTGCCTACATACTCTCGCCACATAGGCTGGGAATTGCCATGCACCAGGAGTAACCCAGGACCCACTGCACTAGCATAGGGTCTGACAATGGGTCCAATGATTTCAACCTGATACCTAATGGCAGTTAGGGTGGCATTGCCTGTAGAGGTCTGTGCGTTCCTCCATGGATATGCCTCCCCAGACCATCACTGACCCCCCACCAAAACGGTCATGCTGAACGATGTTACAAGCAGCATAACGTTCTCCATGGCTTCTCCAGAACCTTTCACATAGGTCACATGTGCTTAGGGTGAATTAGTGGGTGCTGGGCCCACTAGAGGACGTCAGGCCCTCAGGCCACCCTCATGAAGTCTGTTTCAGATTGTTTGGTCAGAGACATTCACACCAGTGGTCTGCTGGAGGTCATTTTGTAGGGCTCAAAGCAGCAGATACTGAATAACTGCCTGTCTCCTGGAATCTCCTCCATGCTCTTGAGACTGTGCTGGGACACGTATTGATGTGCCATCCTGGAGGAGTTGGACTGCCTGTGAAACCTCTGTAGGGTCCAGCTATCACCTCATGCTACCAGTAGTGACACTGACCCTAGCCAAATGCAAAACTAGTAAAAAAAACAGTCAGAAAAGATGAGTAGGGAAACAAATGTCAGTGGCCTCCACCTGTAAAACCTGTTTTGGGGGTCATCTCATTGTTGCCCATCTAGTGCACCTGTTGATAATTTCATTAACACCAAAGCAGCTGAAACTGATTAACAACCCCCTCTGCTACTTAACTGACTAGATCAATATCCCAGGAGTTTGATCAACTTGATGCTACACTCTGATTAATAAGTGTTCCTTTAATTTTTTTGAGCAGTGTATTTGGAAGTCACAAGCTTAGTAACTGTTAGTCATATTCTACACCAATCAGCCATAATATTATGACCACTGACAAGTAAAGCGAATAACTGTAATTATCTTGTTACAATGGTATCTAAAAGTGGGTGGGATATATTAGTCAGCAAGTGAACATATTGTCCCTAAAGTTGATGTGTTGAAAAAATTGAGCAAGCATAAAGATTTGAGCAACTTTGACAAGGGCCAAATTGTAATGGCTATACGACTGGATCAGAGCAACTCCAAAACTGCAGTTCTTGAGGGATGTTCCAGGTCTGAAGTGGTAAGGACCTATCAGTGGTCAGGACTATTAAACCAGTGACAGCATCATGGACAGCCAAGGCTCATGGATGCATGTGGAGAAAGAAGTCTTACCGGTATAGTCCAATCCAATAGAAGAACAGCTGTAGTTCAAATTGCAGAAAAAAGGTAAGGCAGGTTCAGAACACAAAGTGCATCACAGTTTGTTGTGTATGAGGCTGCGTAATTGCAGACCGGTCAGGGTGCTCATGTTGACCCATGTCCACAGCCAGAAGTGCATGTGATCTTCAGAACTAGACCATGGAGCAATGGAAGAAGGTGACCTGGTCTGATGAATCACATTTTCTTTTACTTCATGTGGATGGCCAGATGTGAATGTGCTGCTTACCTGGGGAAGAGATGACATCAGGATGCACTATGGGAAGAAGGCAACTCAGAGGAGGCATTGATCTTCTAGTGACAGCTTGATGCCAGAGACCACAGCATACCTTCAGAGGTCTAGTGGGGTCCATGACTCGGCAGGTCGGGCCATTTTGGCAATAAAAGAGGGACCTACTCAATATTAGGTGGGTGCTCATGTTATGATGGGTGGTCATAATGTTATGGCTGATCGATGAATAGGAACAATACAATGGGACAACAGAGAAGTGAGGAAACAACAATAGTTACCGGAAGGCTCCTCCACAGAGTCGCTGAGAGGTATAAGTCATTCCATTCACTGGCACCTATAGAAACTGAAATATTGAATTTTTACGGTAATATGTTTACAGTAAAAAAAAATGTATTCACCCACATTGGTTTGTTAACAGGAATTGCTGATCTGTTATTTAATCCAGCCTCAGGATTTTACAGAAAAGGAAATGAAGTCTCCAGAATGCATAAAAAAGTTTAAAGTTCAGGCAAGTTTTTGCACTTATTTTTATGTGTTTTAGCAATGAATTACTTGGTATTACTGTAAGGTAATGGTGAAAATGGTATTTCAGGTCTATTTGTAAAGTTTTAGAAACCAAGATTTTTTTAATTCAGTCGTGTGTGGAAGAAGTCAGAGAGGCCAGTACAGAATCTGGGACACACTGACCTGCATTTCCACATGCTCATTCAGAGAAGAGTGGAAACCATGAGATTATAGAAACTGTAACAGCTAGCTACAGAATTGGTCAATGAACATTGAAAGCATTCAGAAGATATGTGCCTCTCCTCAGGCACTTTCCCCTCCCCTCTGAAACATGCACACATCACCCCCATACCTAAAAAGCCCTCCCTGGACCCCAATGACCCGAACAACCTCAGACCCATCTCCCTGCTTCCATTTACATCTAAACTCCTCGAGCGCCTAGTCTACACCCGCCTATGCTCTCACCTCAACGACATCAACCTCCTCGATCCCCTACAGTCGGCTTCCGTCCCCTACACTCCACCAAAACTGCCTTACTCAAACTCTCCAACGACCTGCTAACCGCCAAAGCTAATGGCCACTATTCAGTGCTCCTACTCCTTGACCTCTCTGCGGCCTTCGACGCAGTCGACCACCCCCTCCTCCTCAAAAAACTACACTCCCTCGGCCTCAGAGATTCTGCTCTCTCCTGGCTCTCATCCTACTGTCACAACGCTCCTTCAGCGTTACCTATAATGCTACCACCTCCCCCTCACTCCCCCTCTCTGTTGGGGTCACTCAAGGCTCTGTTCTTGGGCCCCTTCTCTTCTCCATCTATACCTCCTCCCTTGGCCAACTCATACACTCTCACGGCTTCAACTACCACCTCTATGCCGACGACACACAAATCTATCTCTCAACCCCCCACCTCACCCCCTTGGTCTCAGCCCGAATCACACACCTACTGAGCGACATATCAGACTGGATGTCGCTCCACTTCCTTAAATTGAACCTCTCCAAAACCGAGTTTCTTGTCTTCCCCCCAGCCCGGACACCACCCCCCATTGATTTCTCCGTCACATCCAACAACGCTACCATTAAACCCGCCCTGCAGGCCAGAGTACTGGGTGTCATTCTGGACTCCAACCTATCCTTCCAGCCCCAAGTCCAATCTTTAACAAACTCGTGCAGACTCCACCTCCGCAACACGCCAAAATCCGCACGTTCCTAACTCCAGAAACCACTAAACAGCTCATCCACTCTCTCATCATATCACGACTCGACTACTGCAACTCCCTCCTCACTGGCCTGCCTCGCCGCTGGCTATCCCTGCTTCAGTCGATCCTGAATACGGCTGACAGACTCATTCACCTTTCCAACCGCTCTGTCTCCACCACCCCCCTCTGCCAATCCCTTTACTGGCTTCCGATTGCGCAACGGATCAAATTCAAAATCCTAACGCTGACGTACAAAGCTGTCCACCATACTGCCCCGAACTACATCACTGACCTAATATCCAAGTACCGCCCAGCACGCACACTCCGCTCCTCACAAGACCTCCTTCTCTCTAGTTCCCTGGTCTCCTCCTCCCATGCCCGCCTCCAGGACTTCTCCAGGGTGTCACCCATCCTCTGGAACTCCCTGCCCCAACCCATCAGATTATCACCTACTCTCCTCTCCTTTAGGCGCACCCTGAAAACCCATCTCTTCAGGGAAGCCTACCCCACCCCCTGCTAACTTGCCGACCTCCTCCACTCTTCCTACCACTCCATCCCCCACAGCTATCTCCTCCTGTGCCACCATCCCCTCCCTCCTAGATTGTAAGCTCGAAAGAGCAGGGCCCTCGAACCCCTCGTGTATCACATTGTATTGGTATTGTTCTGTCACATGTTCTGTCCCCCTTTGTAATGTACAGCGCTGAGCGAACTATTGGCGCTTTATAAATACTGTAATAATAATAATAATAATAATAATGTTTTGTCCCTGGAGTTTGTTAAAATGCTTCATTCTTATCTACTGAAGTTTCTGCAAATGTAAATCATAAAGATTTAAAATGGCAATCTGATAAAGTTATGGGTTAAAGCAAGAGAGTATATTAAAGGAAGACACATTACATTGGTGACAGTATATAGTCACTGTCATGTTATATTTGGTGTGCAAGATAATTCCATGAATTCCAGTAAGAAATAAAGGCACGGATCAGCATATCATACATGGAGGATTATCAGCCCTGTTTTAGGTCAAATATTACATTTAGTATCATGTACACTGTGTAGGACCCTCTCCATGAGCAGCAATGCATCCATTCAGTTTATTGTTTGGCCATTTTGGATGGTAGGCAAATGGCATTTTGGGCCATGGTCCACTGGACTTCTCTTAATGGTTTTTTTTTTTTAATTTTTCAAAGTATTTGGGGATTTAAGGAAAATGCATAATTATTGATTGAGGCTTTCATTTAAAAAGTACCTTTTTTACTGACCATTTATTTCAACATAAATCTTTGTGTAAGATTACATTTGCAAGTAACATGTTTAGACATACCATTTACTTGTCAAAGCCTCTCTTGTGTAGACACCCAAAAGCCCCGAGAATGCTGCTGGGCTCTGCCATCTTGAATGTAAAGTGAGTAGCCACAGCAGACTCAGAGCTGTTAGTCAAGTGGTACTCTATAGTATTTCCCTTCACTTTTTCTCCTGCAGTTACATGAAAGATGATAAAGGGACGAGAAGGGCGTAGAATGTGGGGCAGGAGATGATAATTAGATACTGCCTTGTAAGTGAATAGCAAAAAGATTTTGTTTTTTACTCGCTATAAAATCCTTTTCTTGGAGTCCATTGACAAGGGAAGTTTGGACCTTCAGGTTATGCTGCTGCCTACAGGAGGATTAGACAACGCTGGCAAAAAAACTGTAGGCCAATCCATGGTATATTCCTTCCTACTATCAGCATGCCTCCGTTGTGTAGCAAAGCAGTACTTATACTGCTTGATCAAAACACAGAGGGGGAATCACAAGTGACCATAAGCTGAAAAGCCAAGAAGACCATAAGCCTGACTTGAGAGATGGGATCTCTCCTTCAACCAAATCCCCATGCACCAAAAAGATGCCCAAGAATGCCCTGCTCTTTCCCCAGCTCAATTTAGCTATCTATCATTAGAAACTTCCTGAGACAGCAAGCCAGGGAAATCTCTTTCGTGTGCATCCCATTTTAAAAGGCTAGTTATAAATTGATTGGAGCAGGTTTCATTTTTGAGCTAATAAATTTCATTTAGAATCCGCTGGGTCTGTCATAGCCCTCTCACCAGGGAGTCTTGCTGGCCTCTGTGGACATCAAGGACTTGTACCTACATGTTTCCCATATTTTTAGTGCACCAATATTTCCTACACTTTTGTATGGGCCCCCTGCAATTTAGTTTGTGGCTTCTATTTGACCTTTCCTTTGCACCTTGGATGTTCATCAGGTGCTGGCCCCAGTATTAGCCCTACCATTCTCTCGGGGAATCCCAATTGTGGGATGCTTAGACAATCTCTCAGTTGGTACAAGCTCTGACAGAAAATGTAGCCTCAACTGTCCAAATATTCTGATGGATCCTGAACCTTCAGAAATTATCATTGGAACCGCCTAACTGTGCTAGTGCTACAGCAAGGTATTCTAAGCAATGAGTTTTTCTTCCCTTGGAGATGTCTCATACTCTCGGATCTCAGTCTTCAGTCAAATATCTGATGGTAATCTCCTTCGAGACAGTCTCATTTACTCAGCTTCACATTAGACCTCTGCATCACAGTATTCTGTTGTCATGGAACAAGTCCAGTCTCTAGACAGATCGATTCATCGGAAGCAAAGGACCAGATTATCCTTGGCCTGGAGGCTCAGAAGTCTGGCTCTGAAGTCAGGAAAGGCCTTCCTTCTCACCTTTTGGAATATATTTCTGATGGATGCCAGCTTGTAGAGCTGGGGGAAGTCTTGGGTATATTTAAGGAATCTCATCTTCTGATCAACATCTTTGATTTTTGGGCTGTGTACCATCTGGCTGAAAGGCCTAGAACTCCCTTCCTACGTAAGGTGCTTTTGGCCTTGTACCTCAACCAGGACATTGTCCTTCCTTCTCTGTTCAGTTCAATTTTATCAAAAGGAGATTTATCTTTATTACCTAAGCAGTATTTAAGCTTATGTTCTCAATGATTGTTTTTCTCCTTTTCCCATAAAGGCACACTCTATTAGATCTGTGAGTACCTCTTTGGCATTTCAACTTTAATATACTATACCCTAGATTTTGCAAGGCTTCTGCCTTGTTTTCCATTCACACAGTCTCTAATTACTATCAGTTGGATTTTCAGTGTTTAGGTTTATTCTAATGCCAGCTTGGGTCTAAGGACTTTGGTACTAAGGTGGCTCTTTGAACTGTAAGTAGTCCCCAGTCCTGTTGTTGTTTTCTTGGGCTCATTAGCATGGTTTGCAGTTACCAACTCAGCTGGACTGATTTTGGTTATCCTGAGTGTTTCACATTCCCTGTGTTCCTGTGACCCAGGTCCCACCCCTCTGTGTTTATGTTCAGGCTTTCAGTGCTGTTTTGTTACATATCTGAAATGTGCTAATAGTAGCAGGAATTATTCAGGGTAGGCCTACAATTCTTTTGTTTGCCAGTGTCCAGTCTTCCTGAAAACAGCAGTATAAAAACATATACTGTCTTTTAATGGAAAGGATTATACATTAAGTCCTGTTTATATCCTGTTTTTATGTCCAAAGAAGCCTGATGAAGAGAGGGAATGATAGATCTGGTTTATTCTAGAATTTTTGAGTCTGAATCAGTTGAATGCCCCCTTTAGGTTTTGGGACTGTAAACTGACTAGAAAAAACCCATGGAACCATTCTATAACAGGGAGCATAGTATGACACCTTGTTCTAGAAGGCCGAAGAAAGCCTTCAGAAGATTCTCCTGTCTCTGAGGAAACTAGGAAGATTTGAAGTGAGAGGAATGGGAGGGGCAGGAAATTAAACTTAAGTTTGTAGCCTTAGGACACCGCCTCTTGCAACTAGGTGTCTGGAATACAAGCTATTCAAGCCTCTGCAAATGTCAGCATATGTCACTCTGCAAAATAGGGGTGCACACTTATGCTGAGGGAGGCTTGTCTGAGGAATTGGCAGACTTGGAATTCCAGATTTGTGTGGATACTTATGGATGGGGAGCCACACTAGAGGGTCTGGATGCAGAAACTGAGGGAGTGGATAAACTAAAGGGATGCTTCCTAATGTCCAGAGAGGAAGACAACTTCACAGTCTGCTGCTTGGGCTTCTTCCGTTGGGGAAGATGAAGATTCTTGCCACCAGGAAGCCAGAGCAAAGTTACCACTCTGTATCTGCTTGCTCTACAGTTGATTGAAAAAATGTGTGTGTGTGTGTGGGGGGGGGGGGGGGGCTTTTAGCATTGTCACTGCTGATTCACATACCTGTAGCTTGTCAGTCGGCACCTAACACACCTAGTCTTGCCCACTCTCACTCATTGCAAGACATTGTGAAAGACGTTGCAGACATTGTATGGTGGGAACATAGGCAAAAAATGATCACCTGATGTGGATGCGCCTTTAAACTGTACCTTGGCTCAACTTTAATGATAGAGTCAAGATTGGCTTATAATTTCTCTGTGTTAAGCCTGCATTGGTCAGTGTAGACTCCAGTGCAGATCAATGCACCTGATGTGGATGAGCCTTTAAACTCCAAAACAAGGCTAGAGATGTACCTTGGCTCAACTTTAATGATAGAGTCAAGATTGGCTTATAAATTTCTCTGCCTATCTCTTTGCATCCACTGATCTTTTTGACATGCAATCTTCACAAAGGGAAAAATCTCTTCTCATACCCTTTTTATATATTCTATAATCTTTTTGACTTGCACAATTTTGAGAGCAATTGACTCACTTAAACTTTAAGCCATTTATGATAAAATATTTTCTAAAGGAAAACTGCAGGGTTTTTTTTATCATTTTGTAATGTTTTTTGTTTTCTTTTTATAGGAAGTGATCGTCAATCGATGGATCTCATCGCAAGAGAGAGTGGAGCATGAAGATTTGTAGAATAGTTTAAAAAAAATAATAAAAACTTCATAATAAAATATTTAAAAACATTTTCTTTAGAATTGTTTTCTTTACATCTTAAAATTAGATATGTTATGAATAGTTGAAAATGTTTGCTGTAAATGACTGATTAATGTATGGTATAATCATGCTAAAGCACGACATTCTTATGTTTAGATCACAACAGGTAACTGCAACAAATAATGATGTAGGATGAGATCTACTGGGTTGGAAGTGTTCAGCCAATTAAATATTGTTGTAGAAATTGCAGGAGAAAAGAGGGGGTCTTCTGAAGATCTGGTTAATCACCCCTTTTCATTTGTTTCCCAGGTAATCCTGGGAATGACACACTCCCTGTCCCTTTGTGGCTACAGAGCTGTGAAAAAGCATTTGCCCACATTTCTGATTTTTTTTTTCCGCATATTTCATCACACTTAAGATCATCAAACAAATTTTATTACACTAAGATAACCCAAGTAAATACAAAATAAAGTTTTTAAGTGATTATTTAATTTAAGGGAAAAAAGCTGTCCAAACCTGCTTGGCCCTATGTGAAAAAGTAATTGCCCCCACGCGCTTTTGCTAAACCATGAAAGAACTGTGATTAATCACTTAAATAGAATCTGACTGACAAAGTGAAGCATGCTAAAAGATCTAAAAAAGCAACACATCATGCTGCGCTCTAAAGAAATGTAAGAACAGATGAGAAAGTAATTACAAATACTAAGGGGGGAACTCTGGAGGATGTAAGGGGAACGCTGGAGGTACTTAGATAGAAATTTGCATCCTCTAGAGCTCCCCCTTACATCCTCCTCCAGAGCTCCAGAACCAAACACGGAATTTGTGCTGTCAGTATGAGCAATGCTAGTGGCCAGGCACTCACCAGTCACCTCCATCTCCTCATTGTGGGCTTTGGGTTTCAGGGAGGCAAGCCAGAGGAGAGATTGTGTATGATGGGCCACCCACAACTCATCAGTGGCGGGCTGGCAATAAAACACGTCCATGTCAGTGACTCAGAACCTTGCATGTGCAGTTCCGAATTAAGCGGATTAGTGTACTGCCGAGCTTGGTCTTTACTTGTGCCATGAGGCATGTATAAGCCACACCCTGCTACTCGATTCGAAGCTGGGCCCGACTGTTGTCTAATTGGCAGCTTCCGAAACTGCAGCACATGTGCAGTTCAAAATTGCTGACACAGACATTTTTACAGGCACTTTCCTCTTGTCTGTTAACATGACCTTCTTGGCTGCCCTCCCCACCCGCGGTGGTGGAATGCCAGGGCCCGGTCGCTAGTGCGACCTTTGCAACTCTGGTAGTTCCACGACTGCCTGCAGTGTATCGGAGTTTGTTGCACTTCCTGCAAGGACTTTTTTTTGGGTTCTTTACCAAGATAAAGTGGTACTGAGGCCTTGGGCTTCCTTTTCTATCTGAATCAGGCTGTTGAGTTGTTATATTTTTGTCCTAATCTTAAATATCCCAAAGAGAAGGTGCTTAACTGTTTTTTTATTGTTCCAGCTGTTTAAGTTTTTCTGAAATTTACAGCTTTGTTGCAGTAGTATGTCTGTTCTGCCTGAGGGCCCTTTTAAGGGTTAGGCTGCATCTTGATCATCTATTTCTAGGTGGATTTGTCAAATCATATCTCGGGCCAATAGTACTAAAGACAAGGTACTTCCTTTCCCAGTCAAGCGCCAGTTCATCTTGAGTGTCAGTTCTTCCTGGACAACTCAGAATCAAGCTCAATATAAATATGAATTTACAGGTAAACCAAAAATCCTTTTTTTTTTTTTTTTTTTGCTCGATTACACTTTGATAAAAGTAAAAAAAAAAAAAACAGCTGTACCATTGGGAGCCATTTGAAGCCCATTACACTTTTAACTGATGCTAAGGGGGCACCCATACGTGCTCACTTCCGAGCTGGGCCATTTGTGTTAATAGACATACACAGCCATAGGGTCGGCCATACTTATGGCTCCCACTTCTGCCTGTGTCCCCTGTGAGATCAGGAAGTGGAGGAGTCCTGCAGGGGGGACAGCACTGGATCGATGGAGTTTAGGGATGGGAAGGGGGATAGCTGCACTCCGTTGCTTTCTGAGATCTGTAACATGAGAGAGGAGGATATCTCGGGCATTATACACACATACTCAGAACTGAATAGCTCAGGTAAAGTCATCATGTTGGAACAAGGCAGCTTTTATTCATCCTGGTCAACTGAGGATGTGGAGAGGAGAACCTGCTTGGTGAGTGCCAAATTTTGGATACTATACCCCGGTCATCATGCAGTTGACAAGTACTTTTAGCCTGAGTACTGCCATGCATGCTCCTTCCCATTTTTATAGTTTTAAAGAAATAATCCAGGATCACGTGGCCTCTAGATGGGAGGTTAGTAGTAATGAGCTTTACCATGTACTTCAAAGCCAACTTATGCTCCAAAATTTGTCACAGCGCACATCAACCCCGTGCACACTGTGCTGCGTGGGTGGTTTTTTGGGAATAACCCAAAAACTGCCTACATGGCCAAAAAAGAAATTATATACGGCCATATAAAGAAATGCAGATTAGGTACATTCCAGATCCTGCTAATAGACATGTGCATGCTGGAAATTTGAGGTTCGGATGCATTCGTTGATCGAATAATTTTGTTTTGTCATTATTGTTATGCTGAACTAACTCATTTTTAAAATTTCTTTAGTTTCTTTAGACATTAATTTTGTATATTTGTTGGTCCGAATGGATTAAAATATTTTTCCAATTTTTTGCAAGATTGCTATATACAGTATTCAATATATTATCAAATATATTTGATATATTATAAAAACTATTCAAAAGGATTCAATATTTTCAAGCACTAGTCCAACCCACCAAAATAAATGGCATGAGCGGATTGGACAATATCGACATGTGCATCCTAATTAATGAATGGAATGAAATTTGGATCTATTCGTTATCGAATCCAAAAATAATTGAACTAATTTCCCCATGGGCCCATCTCATCATGTGATGTCATCTGAGTGAAACAAGCATTTGTTAGTTTCATTATAACTTTTTTTGATTCATTGACGTTCGTTTCTGTGCCCATTTGAAGATTCTGATACATCCGAAAATGAAACTTTCATGTGAAAAACAAATAAAAAAGAAGAGACACTCAAGTCTACCTGCTAATGATCTGCACAACTCTGTATACTGTATGTAGTTGAGGCTACATACTGTACAAGTAATACAACATGGCCAGCAAATGCATCTTTTAGGGCTCGTTCACACCAGAATGTGGTACGGGAAACACATGTACTGAACGTTTCCTGCACTGCATTCAAAATGCACTGAGTGATTTTATGTGGGTGTCCGTATATTGCTAACACCCCAAATACATATCCCAAACACAGTGCATTTGCCTGCACTGGATCACCTGGTACCAGTGGGGTTTTTTTTTTTTTTTTTTGAAAAGTAGTTCCTGCATTACTTTTGTGAAATTTCAGCCTATTCATTTGAAAGATTGAGTCACACAGAAACCACTCAGGAGGTTCCTGTGTGATTCAGGTATGAACCGACCCTTAGGCCCATAGCATGCAGGGTGTTTGGCCATCTTCCTAGACACCCTTCCTCCTGGCAGCAGCATTTTGTCATTAAAAAAACACTTGGTGCATGTAAAAGCAATAGGTGCGTTAAGCGCTGGGGTGATAATTTCATTGGCCAGAATAATAATGTAATCTAGTGTTAATGTGTTTAAATGCATTTAGGTGCATGCAGTTAAAAATGTCCAGTGTGCATGAGGCCTTAGTGCAGTAAATACGTAGATCAACCTTATTATCCAGGATTTATATAGCGCCAACAGTTTTCACAGCGCTTTACAATATAACTGGAGACAATACAGCAACAATACAGTTCAATACAAGAGGGTTAGGAGGGCCCTGCTCCTTGGAGCTTACAATCTAAGAGAGAGGGGTGGGTGGAACAAAAAGTAATAACTGTGGGGTATAGACTGGTAGGAGGAATAGAGGATTCTGTTATTAGCTGAAGGCAGGATAGGCTTTCCTGAAGAGATAGGTTTTCAGAGATCGCCTAAAAGTGGGCAGAGTAGGTGATAGGCTGATAGATTGGGGTAGAGAGTTCCAGAGGATAGGGGATGCCCTGGAGATGAGCATGGGAGGAGGAGACAAGGGAGCTAGAGAGCAGGAGGTCTTGCGAGGAGCGGAGAGGACGGTTTGGGTGATATTTAGAATATTTAGAGACAAGATTGCTGATGTAATTTGGGGCAGAGTTATAAATGGTTTTCTATGTTATTGTTAATGTTTTTAATTGTATTTGTTGGGCAATGGGAAGCCAGTGGAGGGATTGGCAGAGAGGGGTGGCAGATACAGAACGGTTAGTAAGGTGAATACCTTATGTGGACATGCGCTCATTGGTAGTGAAAAAAAAAAAAATACTGTATTTTTCGCTCCATAAGACGCACTTTTTTCCCCCCAAAAAAGGGGGGAAAATGTCAGTGCGTCTTATGGAGCGAATATAAAGCGGCCGGTCCGGTATTTCCGCCACCACCATGTCAGAATACCGGGCCGGCTGCTCAGCTGTTCTCTGCGGCAGGAACTCACCTGTTCCTCGGTCCAGCGCTGTAATCTTCCCGTGCTGTCTTCTTCCCGCCCGGCATCTGTGACAGCCGGGTGCCCACTGCACATGCGCGAGAAGCGCTGCGCTTTGTGAATGGTCCGGTGTCTTCTGGGACACATGACAGGTCCCAAAAGACGCCGGGCTATTCACAAAGTGCAGCGCTTCTTGCGCATGCACAGTGGGCACCCAGCTGTCAAAGTCGAGTGTCACAGTATAGGAAGGAGAACTCCGCAAAAGTGGGAGCTGGTACCTGTCAAATTCAGGTACCCGCTCCCCCTCCCTCCCTAAAGGTCCGCAGTGTCTGGTCATGCCCTGTACTGTCTGCAGTCTCTGGTCATCCCATGTGCTGTCTGCAGTCTCTGGTCATCTGTACTGTCCGCAGTCTCTGGTCATCCCCT